CAACTCAAGAACATTTCGCCGCGCGCGCGTTTTCCGTCGAGCTGGGTTTGAATCGTAACGGTAATTATCTAAGTTGCCCCTTTTCTTGCATTTTTTCGAAATTAAGAGAAGAAGATTGCGTGATTTCATGTAAGAAAAGTTGACCGAAGTGAGCCAATCACGCTTTCCAATGGAAGACGACTTGTTGATTAATTTTGGAGCTGTTGCGGCAGTTGCTTTTGACGACGGTATGCATTAATTCACATTAATTTGATTAAGATAACCTTACTCTATCAGCATCAATGATAAAATTCTGCTTGGTCTTTTCTCATATTTCAGACGAGAACCAAGATGGGTTTTTGTGGGAAAGAATCAATGTAGATCCGGCGGAGTTTCTTTTAATGAGGAATGGAACATTCAAGAGGCACTTCCGATTATCCAAAGAATCATATGAGGTGTGTTGATGTTGTCAACTTTGTAAACTATAGGCTAACATTTTCCTTCCTTAATTTTGATTGCTGAAAATTATGTGATTTTCTCTAAGATTCTTTGTGAAGAACTCGTTGATTATCTTGAAGCTGCCGAGCAAATTCGCCGTGTTAGGCGAGATTTCCGCATCAAAGTTTTGATGGTATTGTGGATACTTGCAACACCAGATACCTTCAGAAGTGTCGCATTACAATTTGGTGTCCACCCAGGAGAATTGTATCGATACTACACAATGATTATTCGAGCCCTGTGCGCCCTCGGTGAGCACTATATCACCTGGCCAAATGCCCGTGAGAGAAGGGAGATAAAACATAGACTAGAAGCTATCTCTGGATTCCCAGGTTGGTTTTTGTGCTATTCTTATTGTCCTCAAATTTGGAAAAAAGCTTTATACTCTTAAATGATTTTTGTTCTTATCTTAGGTACTGTTGGTCTGATGGATGGTACTCACATCAACATTACTAGACCTTCTGATGACCCTGCAGCATTCAGGGACCGCCATGCTAATTACTCGATAAAAGTTCAAGGGGTATGTGACCACCAACTCCTCATCAGAGATCTGTACTTAGGAGAAGCTGGCAGCCTTCACGATGCCAGAGTGTTTCGGAGAAGCCCATTATTCAGGAACATTTTATTCAGAGACCGTGAAATGTTTTCTGAAGGAGAGCACATTGTTGCTGATTCGGCATATCCAAATATAGATAGGGTCATGACCCCTTTTGTCAACAATGGCCATCTGGCTCCAAACCAAAGACGCTATAATAGTTGCTTGTCCCGCATAAGGGTTAAAATTGAGCACACTTGGGGGCGACACACAAACCTCTGGAGAAGGAGTAAGAGGATAGAGGTTTACAACATGGACACATGTGTTGACCATCAAGCAGCTACCTATGTTCTCCACAATTTTCGCATCATTCATGATGATAATGTCCCTATTGTAAGCAAACTGTTGCGCTTTTGTTTGTTTTTATCTCTAACTTTGCTCCTTTGCACTAAAGTAGGCCTTGAAATTCATTTGTACAGATGGATGCAGATGATGTAGAGGATGGTATTCAACAAGACATTGTCGAGAATGATGATGACTACATTGACAACGACCCACTGGTGCCTCAAGGAGATGGACAACAGCTTTTCCGTCAAGCTCTCATCCGAGGAGAACAGAAGAGATGGAACATTTGCAACGAGCTTGTGGGACAAGTGTAAATTTTATTTTAAGTTTCATCAGGAGTTAATGACTCAAAAACAATGCTAAGAATTAACTTTCTTGAAAAATAAAACATAGAATAGTTCTAAATAAAAATCCTTGTTGCACATAACAACATTAAACAAAACAAAAAATTCATTTTAAGATGCAAAATAAGATTTCTTTAACAATCTACAAACAGGAACCAAGAGATGGCTAGAAAATTATTACAAAAAACTGCTAATCTTTCTTACTCTCAAGTCTCATCTGCATGAGGTCATTCTGTCTAGTCATCTGTTGAACTATTTGCCTTTTCAACAGCAGATTATCTTCGTGTCTGTCTCCTAGAAACTTACTAGGCCGTTTTCGTTCTTGTCTTTCTGGCGGGTTAGGCTTGGTGTAGAGTTTAACTTGTCTTGAAAAATTCACAAAGGAAGAACCAAAACCCATGATTTTTTGAGGCTCAATGAGAGAGCTCTTCTCATAAATTCTAGATAGAATGTCATAATGAGGCCATAACTGCTGGTCCGTCCCACTCCCAGTGCTGTTCATCATGCTATCATAGCGCAGTTTAAAATCTGAAGCCAGCTTTCCCATTCTAGTCGACAAGTCCTCAAGTCTAAGGTGGGTAAACTGTGCAGTATGCATTATGGTGAGCATTTCTCCATAAACTTCATCAGAGCGAGTCTTATCATCGTCAAACTTAGGTTTAAGACTCAGGTAGGCATTTAATAAGACTTTGTCGGCATCCCCAGGAAATAATTTTGAGTTATCTGTGAACATAACATGAAAAGCTGTTTGTTTTGTTGTTGTAATTATGATACTTTTAATTAATCAATTATAAAAAAGCACAAGTATTTTACCTGTGGCCTCATATCCATCCAAAACAACTACAAACTCAACGTAGTTTTTGCCAGGGGCTCTTGAAGATGTTTTCTCCTTCATTACTATTATGTCTGGGTGTTGCTCTATAAGATTGTCAATATCAGTGGAGCCATCAGGTAATTTTCCTTCAAATTCCTTCACAATATCCTCCATACATGGAGGTGGCAATGCTTGCAAGCCCTTCATTCTTCTCCTTATACTGCTGTCAGTGTAATTGAATCTCAAAGTTTTCATACCAATAAAAATATTTTTGTAGCCTTCACCCTGCACTCTGGATGCACTATGATTGAGAAATTTTTTATTTACCAACATTAGTTTTAGTAGCTGCAACTCAGTGTGAGTTGTCCAGTCAGTTCGAATTCCTCGAATAAGCTGCTTTGATAAAAATAAGACAAATTTGTAAGAAATCTATCAGTGGTAATTTATTTTTCAAAATAATTCTAGTTTTAGCATTCTCACACACACTTTTTCTTAATAAACCTACCTCAGCACTGCTGGATGCTGTCTGAATACCTTCAGAAGACTGCAAGCCACTGCTACTGGCTAACTCATTTGGGATAAATGCTGGACTTTGAGATAAAGTTTGTACGGGAAGCTAAGTGAGAAAAAAGAAAACATATATGAAGGCAGAGGAAGCTATAAACATTTTACTGTATTCAAAGAACAAAGTTACCTGGAAACTGCTGGAAGCAGACTCATTTACATTTTGAGAAGATTGAGTTGATTTGGAGAGCTATTGGCAGAGTCAAAGAAAAATCACATTAGAACAAGCAAAAAAGTTTTAATAGATGTATGCACAAATACACACACACACATACTTACTTTTGACTGCTGTATCTTTTTTACTGTGGCGGCTGAAGGTTCTATCATGAAACCCTTCTTTTCAGATTTTGACACTGAAAGAGTATGTCTTTTGAGGTAGAGCAGTGATTTGAGTTTGCAACAGAATTCTTCCACTATATCAAAGGTTAAGAACTGAAAACAGATTGGACATACATGCACCCATTGCATTTTTAATTACAAACCATAAATATTAAAACTTGAAAACTTCAGAATATTGGACGGTTCAATGTGGTCATACCTGAAATATTACAGATCTATCCTCATTGTTGAACTCTCCGTAACTTAAAATGCTTACATCAATATCTGGTTCAATCCCTGCACTTCTGCGTGCATCCTCTACAAATGGGAGGAATAACGCCTGTAAGAACAATAAATGAATAACTAGAACAAAAGTGTTAATAATGGCAGGATATCAAAGAAGTATTTAAGAAATTGCAATACCTCAACAAATGGCAGAGGGATTCCTGATATTTTTAGAAAAGTAGATTGATCTGATTCTTGAACATTGACTAATGATACGGAAAGATTATCATTAAAATATTCAATTGTCCCTAATTTATTGCAAAATTCATTTGCTTGCCTATCTGTTACAACCTGAATTTCAGAAGATATGACACTTAAGTTTCTTCCTGTACAACATATAATCAATAACCAGCACACATTAGAAATACAATTAACTACCGTCAAAACTATGCTTCTGTCCACTTCATCGTAATCTCCACATCCAATTATAATTTTTTCCACACCAGGATCTATACCCTTGTCTCTTCGCTCCTCCTCAAGATATGGAAGCAATATATCCTAAAAAAAATTGAAAATTTTAACCAAAGTGTTTGGAATAACAAAATATATGACATAATTAATGTCGGTTTACCTTCACAAAAGGGGGAGAAATTCCCTTAACTTTGATGGAACACGAGCCCATCCTTTCAGATTCAGGAGGAAGCATCTCATGATCAACATCAAAAATATTCAGCTCATTATCAGTTTTGGCTTCTGCTGAGATGACTTCAGCAGTTTGCATGTCAGCTGCTGACAACTCTACTGTTGCACAAACTGTATTCACGTTGACACTTTCACGCAACAGGTGTGGTTTTCCCAAGGGTTTTCCTTTTGCAGATTGCTTCTGTGGAATGAAACTAACATATGAAAAGGTTGATAGAGTTAGGATAAATGTTTGTACAACTGGATTTTACTTTACCTTCTGCACACACACAGTTTGTGGTTCCTCAGCAAGCAAACTTATCTTTACCAATTGCTTATAATACTTTATGGACGATGACTTTCCAAGCAGTAATTGGGCAACATCCTTGTTGAGAACCTAAACATAATTTGATACCAAAATATCCTTGAAGTCACAGAGTAACTGAAGATTATGATTTAAAATATTTCAAATAAATCTTCACTTACAGTTACAATTACACAGCCCTTTTCTGCTCTCTCAATGGAAATGCACCATGTTGTTTTCAGGGACCTGTCTACATGTCTTCCCAAAACCCCTTTGAAAGTTAACTGGAAAATAAAATTTTGCCACATTAAAAGATAAAGTAGATACAAGAGATAGTCTATAATCATACAAAAACAAGTGATACCTCCAAATAATTGCTGGGTAGGTTAGACACTTTCAGTTTGACGTGCTGCTGAGCCTCTACTTCTTTTACAGTAGATGAAATCGATGAGATATCCATCTTTAAGAACTAAATCGTCAAAAAATACAAGAACACAACACTAACAGTTTCGAAAGCAGCTTATCGCGCAATTTAATTCACTTAATTTCGGAAAAATGCAAGAAAAGGGGCAACTTAGATAATTACCGTTACGATTCAAACCCAGCTCGACGGAAAACGCGCGCGCGGCGAAATGTTCTTGAGTTGTTCTTCATCCTTTGGCTTTTGATAAGGTTCGACACCTGCGGTCAAGTGATCGCGAAAGAACGATGATTACTTGAAACCCCGTTCTGAAGAACCACCGAAAAGTATTCAAAATCACACAAGATTTCGCATAGAAGTATGTTTACATATTTTTGTGCTTATTTGAGGTCTAGGACTACGACTACGCTAGGGCTCGCTTACCCCCCCCCCCCCCCC